AAAATGGGGATAATAATAGTACCTACCTCCCAAGGTTGTGAGGATCAGTTGAGATAATACTTGGAAAACACCTGATATAATTCCTTATACACTGTAGGCTCTTAATATGTTCTTCTTTCTTTCCTTCCTTTCCTTCTTTCTATATGCCTGAAAGATCAAAACGTTTTCAACTGTATTTCTATGTGTAAAATTACATGTATAATTTCCATTTTGGTACTTTAGTGATAGCACTATTTTAGTTTTATAATTCTTGTCATGAGTTTCTTCACTATGTTGTATGTGTACATTCCTTGGCTTCCATCAGTGGCTTGATTTACAAGCTGTATTTCAACAACTGTTCATGAGAAAATCATATCTTTCCCATGTATGATATCTTGTTTGTAGGCTCTATTATTATCTTTTCATCAGGGAAAAGATAATGACTTAATGTTGCAACATGAGGACACAGACTTTATTAGTACAATATTTATTAAAATTTAAATGAAATGTATTATTACCTTCAGTGCTAATATTTTAATGACCCTTTCCCCTACTTAGGTTTCAATTTTCTTAATTGTTAACATTGTTCTTTTCTTTCTCTACTTTGTGAGGGAAAGAAGAGAAAAAGAAGAAAGGAAAGAAAGAACTAATACTAGAGGCCCTTTGAGCGTTGGTCTGTAGAGGAATATGTAGCATATTCACCAGTTGACTGGTCCAGGAAAGTAAATGCAGTAAATGGAACTGCTATTCTGTAGTGCAATATTTAAAATAAATTTGCAAGCGATTTTACCTCTAGAAGTGGGATGATGTCTCTTTGAAAATATTTCCCTTTGTTCTGCTTCAGTGTTTATATTACACTAATGTTATAGTTGAGGCGTGGGATTACATTGGGTGGCCAGTGGTGTTCTGCATTAATTAAGAAATTTCTTACAAAGGAGAATGGTTTTAAATTGTGTCCTAATCTGTGGGAGGGAGATTGTTTGTTGAGGTAAGGGTGTGGAGCAGTGATTCCAAAGAGGAGAGACAGCCTGAGTATAGGCTCATAGGTGGGGCAGGGTGGAGAGTATATGCATTAGGAATGGCATGAGTTTGCCCAGCTTAGGTAGACACCATAACTGGAATTGAAGTAGAAGATGAGACGTCTAGAGAAAGCCTTAAGATCCATTGGCAAGAGTCTTTGCGTCACCTGCATGGCAATGCTAAATGATGAGGCGCTCTGTGGTCAAAGTAGCATCACATTGTGGCATGGTAGACAGAATATTGCACTTGGATTTGGGAAGACCTGAGTTTGGATCCTGCCTTAAACACTTAATAACCATGTGAAACCAGTCAAGTAACTTAATCTCTCTGACCCTCAGTTTCAAATCTGTTGAAATAGGGATAATAATAGCACCTATCTCATAGGGTTGTTATGGAGATCAAATTAGATAACAAAGTGCTTTACAAATTATAAAGTGCTATGTAAATATGAACAATGATGATATATGGATTGGAGCTTTAGGGGAAATCGGGTATGGAGCGCTGCATGAGAACAAGGTCGTAGCATTCATGATGAGATGAAAATAAAGGGGAGAACTAAAAAAAAGATTAGAGAGGGATAAGGGTCTATGAATGCAGCATATACATTACTACATATACTGTTATTAGTACATCATAGCAGTTCTTATTTTTTCTTTGTTGCAAGGGTAGTCTCACTAGGATGGGTTGGGTTATGAAAGTATATTTAGAAATAAATACGAGGTAAAAACAAGAATATGAAAAAATTAATAACCAGATTCCAGAGGTTCTAAAGAGAAAAAAAATGTCAAAACTCAGTTTTGTACTGCTTTAAGAACAAGAGACATCCTAAAATTTGGAAGGAGACAGAAAGAAAGCAGGGTGGGACTGCTAATAGTAATGAGTGTTAATGATAGTGAGAGTATTCAGTGCTTACAAGTTCACCATGAGAAGAATTAGAGAACTGAAACTGAAATGTGACATCTGTGGCATAGTTTGCATTGGGCCCAATGTGCTTATGGTACATAAAAGGCGTCACACTGATAAGCAGCTGAAAGAAAACCCTCCTTTTGAGGGAAAATACTTCATCTTACTCCAAAAGTATCAAATGGTTCACTTTTTTTCTAGTTACCACAATCTGAGTTCTTAAGACATTTTCAAGATCATTGTGCCATGCATTTTGCCCTATCTCTGTCTTGTGAAAAGACTCTGTCAGCAATCCAGAATTAGAGCTGTACTAACAAAATTCCAATTTTTCTGTGGGATGATCCAAGAACAACAAATAGAAAGCATAAGTTTCTTAACTATCACAAGTGTGTGTGTGTGTATGCTATGCTCTTCTTGTCATTCACTGCATTCTGATGTGCAGATGGGAAGGACTGAAATACTTTGCATGGCTAATAATGTGTTCCATATAGTAAGTAGGCTTTTGATGCATAGGAAAGAAGAAATCCAGCTAACTAATCATGCTGGATGTGGTCTGCAGGACAGACTAGGCCCCCTCTTAGCCTTATTTGTTTAGTCTGACTTTAGAGCTCCTGATTTGACATGGTGGCTTCCATATGTGTATGGGATTTTTTTGGGCCAGAATCAAGATTCAGAATAGTCTCTTCACCTCTGTCCTGAAGCATGTTTACACAAGTACTCTATTTTAACACAGAGCGTGTGAGGTACATTTAATCATTGTTCACCTAGAAGCAGCATGGTTCAGTGGATTAAGCAACAGACTAGCATTCTAGTCTTGCCTTGGTCATAAACTTACTGTGAAAACCCAATCAAGTCATTTTACTTCTCTTAACCTTAATCTCCTAAATGAAGAATTAGAGAAGCCTGATTAGAATGTTTAGAAAGTACTTCTTTTTTAAAAAATAAAAAGTGATATAGAAATAAATTTATTTCAGTGGGACGTGTTTATATTCACAGAATGTTAGAATTGGAAACGACATTGAGGCTTCTCTGATGCAACCAGCCTCCCTTAATACATAAGCAAACTGAAACACAGACATCCACAGTTACTTGCACAAGGTCACATAGTTAACAACTACTGAGTAATGTGATGTTTGGTGCTCCTTTGTGCACACTGCCTCGTTTACTCTTCTTAATCATTTAAAATAGTTGCTAGATTTCTCCGTTTATCTTTATTTGTGTTCAGATGTGTATTATGTAACATAATGAAATCAATCAACCAGCAAACATTTATTTTATTTGCTTGTTTCAGTCCTGTCCAACTCTTTGTGATCCCATTTGGAGTTTTCTTGGCAAAAATATTAGAGTGGTTTGCCATTTCCTTCTTCATCTCATTTTACACATGAGGAACTGAGGCAAACAGGGTTAAGTGACTTGTCCAGGGTCAAACGTGTAATAAGCATCAAAGGCTGAATGCCTTCTTGTCTATAGACCTGGCCACTTTGCCACTTTGCTACACTAACATTTATTAAGTGCTTACATATAATGTCAGAACCTGTGATAGACGCTGAAGGTGATCAAGAGAAAAATGAAAAAGCTCTCAGGAAACTTGTATTTTATTAAAAGAAACATGTAAAACATCCATAAGTATATACTGAATAAAAGTAGTAGATACAAAGTATTTTAGGGATGTAGGACATTAGCAGTTGGGGGGGTGGGTCAGGCAAAGCTTCACAAGGAAGGTACTGATTAAGCTGAGTCTTGAAAGAAGTAAGGAATTCTGTGAGGTGGAGGTAAGCAGTGAGTGTATTCAAGGAATGAGAGACAAAGGGAATTGCCAAGGAAACTGGAAATATAATACCATGTGTGAGGAATAGTGAGAAGGCTAGTTTGACTAGACTTAAGGGCAGAAAGGAATGTAATGTATGAGGAGACTGGAAAGGTTAGGGACAGGTTATAAAGGGCTTTAAAAGCTAAACAGAGGAATTCTGATTTTATCTTCCTAGAGGCCGTGGAAAGCCCATGGAGTTTCTTGAGATATCATGCTCAGAACTTAAGGAAATTTACTTTGGCAGTCATGTGGAGTATGAGATTTGAGAGAAGAAGATCAATTAGAAGACCGTTGCGGTAGTCAAGATAGGAGGTGATGAGGGAATGGACTAAGGAGATTGCTATGTGAATAATGCAAAGGGAATAGACACAAGAAGTACTGTGAGAGTCGAAATGTCAATATTTGTCTATTGTTTGGATATGGAACGTGAGAGAAAGTAAGAAGTTGAGGATAATACCAAGGTGGCAAGCAAAAGCCTGGAAAGGTATTGGGACCCTCAACAGAAATAAGTAAAATTAAAAGAGAGGTATATTTAAGGAGAAAGATAATGAATTCTGTTTTGGACATGTTGAGTTTGAGATGCTTATATGACATCCACATGGAAATGCCCAATAGGAAATTCATAATGTGGACCTAGAGCTTAGGAGAGAAAACTAGAGCTGTATATAAAGATCCAAGAATCATCTACATAGAAATGACAATTAAACCACAGGCAACTGGAGAAGTCAATGAGAAATAGAAAGCATAAGTAGAAGAGGCCCAAGATGAAGCCTTAGAGAGGTGTCAAACTTGCAGTCACTAGGAAACCAGATTAAAATATTATTGGAGTATGTTTAAAAAAATAAATAAAAATACAACAGAAATAATGTTTATTTGTGGGGGGTTTTTTTTTCAGTCAGTATGTGGTCCACAGGGATCCATTTCTATTTGAGTTTGACACCACCTCCTTGGAATACATTCACCATTAGGAGGCATGGTACGGAGGAAGACCCAGAAAAAGAGACTGAGAAATGGTTAGACAAATAGAAGAAGAACCAAAAGACATTCTTCTTTTATAGTCATAGGTATTTAGATAAGATGGAATACTTAAGACGGGAGGATGGTCAACAGTTTCAGATGCTGCAGAGAGGTTTAGAAGTGTGAGAACTGAGAAAAGCCTAATTAAGAGATCATTGCAATTTTGGAGAGAGTATATTCTCCATGATACCAACAAATAAAATAGGTAGGAGAAGATGTATTCTTCTGTGCCTTTATAATGAATATTTTCTTGTTCTCTTTTAAATCACAGCAAATTCAGTAAAGCTAGAAATGCAAAGTGATGAAGAGTCTGACAGGAAACCCCTGAGTCGGGAAGGAGACATCAGGGGCCATGATGAAGGTAGCAGCCTAGAAGAACCCATTATTGAGAGCAATGATGTGGCAGACAACAGAAAAGTCCAGGAGCTTCAAGGCGAGGGAGGAATCCGGCTTCCGAATGGTAAACTGAAATGTGACGTCTGTGGCATGGTTTGCATTGGGCCCAATGTGCTTATGGTACATAAAAGGAGTCACACTGGTAAGCAGCTGAAAGAAAACCTGATGACTGCCTATGGCATCTGATGTTTATATTACCTGACAACTATTCTCTTGCCTTTTTATTCAGGGGTAGAATTGGTGAATGGGGAAACTCAACTTTTTCAGAACTCTGCTAGTACTGTACTGTTGACAAGCAGAAAGTAACCTTGGTCTTGACTTCCAACCATGGAGTCTGAGTAGTAAATCATAAAAAAAGAAGCTTGGAATTCAGTTTTCATTGTGCTTAATGCAGCAATAATATGGTAAGGGTTCAAGTGGCAAAGGATTTCATGGTGTAACATGATCTTTGCATCTTTCTGTACAGATTTTACCTTGCCAAGGATAGATGATCTGGTTTGCTAGTGGACAGTCTAAGACATAAATTTAATCCTCATGCATTTGTATAGGTGAATCGTTTTATATCTTTTTTAAACCTTCTGTAATTCCTCCCTGCCATAAGTTACCCTGACAATCAGTGCTAGAACACAATTGCCAGTTAGGTATCAGAGCATTAAAGCACTTATCAAAATGCCTGGTACATTAGGCAGTATATAAATGCTTATTCTTTCTCTCCCTTTCCTGACCCCCTCAGCCATTTGCATTCTCTAGATCAACAGAGCAAAAAGGATAGGGAAGTGTCCCTGGTGAAAGATGATTTTTTTTCTTTAAACAGAATCTTCTCTAAATTGTTTTAGTTGTGTAAAGTTTACATTTTTCTTACCAGTTGTAAAAAGCCACATTCTCCACATATATGAAGTGAACCCTTGGAATCAATTAGGTACTTTGGGAACATCAAAAACTTCTTTTAACATCTACAACAGAGTGGATATTTAATAAATGTTTGTTGAATTGAATACTAGTGAGCACTGCACACATAGTGAGTTTGCTGTCAGTGTTACTTTGACTTGCTAACTAATTATTCTGCCTATATTAAACCCACCTTTGGAATATACTAAGAAAGCATCTGAGAGTGTTCAGTTTAACTCACTAGGCTTATCGATGATTTGAGTTTTCAAGTGCACAGTTTATTCTGTATGGTAAAACTCTGCATCACCAGGGTCCAAGTATAAGTTGCTGTGTAAATAACTATACATGTAGTCTTGTAGTCTGCCTCCAATCTGAAATAGCAGTCTAGAACTGACTTCTGCAATCCATACCTAAAAGATGGATGATAGTAATTCATTGTTTATATAGTGCTTGTATATTTATCAAACTCTCGCTTCACAATAACCTAGTGAGGTATATAAGGCAAGTATTATCACCTTCATTTTATCAATAAGAAAAATGATGCTCAGAGAGGTAAAGTAAGTTACCCAGGATCACAAAGCTAGTAGATAGAAGAACTGGAACTTAACCCCAGCTTTTCCAACTCCTTGCTTCAGTATTAACACTATATTGTGCTGCCTCTCAGTGACTTGTAGCTCTTGATAATTATGGTGTATGAGTTTGAGAGCCTCAGAGACATGGAGAGACACCATTACTTCTAATTTTTTTAACTGAGGGCAGATGTTGCCATCTCAAAATAATTTCTGATCTTGACGGTGGCAAGGGAGTTGTTTTATTGACGTCAGGTGGGAGGAATGGAGTACAGCTCAGGAGATTACAGTAAAGGAAAAGGGGACTAGATGAAAGCTTTTCAATTAAATAAATAACCTTTTCAATCTTAGAGAAATAAGAAAAAACTAAATGGTTTATTGCTTTAATTATAAATAAACCAAAAGAAGTGTATTCATAATTTTAATGTCATCAGTCCTTTACCAGAACTAAAAGTAGTTATGCAATGAAAAATGTATTAAAAATGCAAATGAGAATTACTACTCTTATACTCTAAACAGAAAGTTGCAAGTTTGGAAAAAATAGCAATAGATACATTAAGCTAAAGTGTGAAGGAGTTATAGGAATATATAATCTCAGTAATAGTAATAATGACAATAATATCAATAATATATTTGGTATTTATCTAGGTAGAGCTTTAAAGTTTGCAAGATGGGTTACAAATACTAGTTCATCTTATCCTTAGAACAACCCTGGAAGGTAGGTGCTATTATTATCAATGACAAAACTGAGGCAGGCTGGGGTTGTGATTTGCCCAGGGTCTATAGCTAGTAAATGCCTGAGTCTGGCAGGTCGTCTTGACTCCAGGCCCAGTGCTCTCTCTACTGCACAAGTATACTACACTTTTAGGAGAAAGATGAGCCATAACGAATCAAGGTGATGTTGAATCCACTTCAACATATATTGAGCTGCTGCTCTATGGGAAGTGGTGCACTAGGTTCTATTTAGGATCTAAAGATGAATAAGTCACAGTTACTACCTTTAAGGAATTCATCATCTATGAGAAAGAATACATGCAAAATACATGTGTAATACACTATAACAATAGTGCCAGAAAAGAAGTACAAACACAGCATTATGGGAATACATAGAGGAGAAAGGCAATGGCAAGGTCAGGGAAGGGTTCATAGAGGCAGTAACAGTTGAACCAGGAAAAATGTCCAGGATTTGACAAACAATAAAAATGTAGGTCAGTCACCAAATGGAAGAAATAATGTCAGCAAAGGGCACAAGAAGCAAGGAACAACCTGAAATATTTCAAGAATGGCAAGTAGTGTAATTTGGCTTTATTTCAAAGCTCAAGTCTCATGAGGATCACTTAGGGTCAGTCGACATTCATCCCATTCGCCTACCTCTTATATGTTTACGGTAATGAACAGTCAATAGTAATACTCAGAATGATCAATAGATAAGATCCTCAGGGGTCAAAGAAATATTAAAGTCTGAGGTATGATCATAAAGTAATGCAACAAATTTTAAAATCAACAAATATACTAGAATGGCTATGTATATATACAAACATGTGCACATCATGTATATACATACATATATACATACATATTCAAATGAATATTGCTACCACAAAAAATCACTCATTTTAACCTCAAAACATTTTGTAACTTCTTTAAAATTAATTGCTTTTAGAATCAATGGCAAATTATTTTGGACATCTCCCGTGGCCACAAATCTTTGCCTTTTCTGGATGGATATGATTTTAAAGTGATTTTGGTGCCAATTCAGTGAATAAGGCAGGTAGCACTGCTTGGAAGTACCATTCTCACTCAGATGCACTCTTTATCAGTAAAGTAGAGAGAATGGTTTTCTTGTATGATTTATTAACTGATTCTGAAGACAATCCCAGAGAAGAGTTAGAAAAAAATTTTAAATAGGGATGACATCATTATAAATGTAGCCTGTCAGAGTGACTCTTTTAAAGGATAGCCATTGATTTGGATACATAACCTCTCTCAAGACAGCTTAAGAATATATTTCACTACTTGTGTTCCATACAGTTAATCTACCAAGATACTAAATACATTTTAGAAGGATTTTCAACAACATGTTTTGGAACACAAAAAAAGGTTTTCAGATTTTATGTTAACAAAGAGATCTAGTTAACCAGTTAACCTTTTTCTTTCTTTAGCATTCTGAGTTGATAGGCTTTCTTATTGTTAATTTGTTACTTATGTTTTACTTCATTTCCTACTATAGTCTTCATTTCCTACTATTATAAAGAATTAGCTAGCTCAGGGTAGTTTAAACACAGCATATTAATCATTAGTGTTCTGTTAAGCATGTAATTGAAAATTGAAGTATTTTCAAATTATAACAAGACTTTAACTATGGAGGTTCACAATAGTGACAAGGTAATTCCCATTGATCTAGGATGCTTAAAAGTGTAGTTTTAAATGCTAAATAACAGACTGGATGATCTCTCAAAAGTCACAAATTTCATCTGTTACTTTGTAGCTAATTGGTACCATTAGTAATAAAATCTTTGCAGCTTTCCCAAACAATTAAGGTTCTGGTTAGAATTTTTTCAAGGTCAGATTGAAAATATAGAAATTACATTTTTCCATTTCCATTTTATTTATGATGACATAAAATAATAATTCTACATAAGCCACTACTTTGCCATTTCCAAATAAGACTCTAAGTGTGTTTGGCTTTCTCCATTGTGAGCTTTACTTGGGGTGGGAGTAGGTGGGAAACATTCGTTCATAATTTAGTAATTATGAATTAATATCATTATTTTAGTTAACAGTTTGAAGTAGAATTTCTTCCTCAAATTTATATGTATATGACTTAAATATTTTAGGGAAAGCTCTTTTATATTTTTTCAACTAGCAAAACATTAAATATAGGATTGAAATTAAGAATAATGCTTAACCATCTAACTCATAACACTCATAAGGAGAATCAGATCTAATTAGCTTCCTGTTTTTCTTTTTCCTTTTTTTCTGAAGTGCCAATTCCAGCATCTTATTCATGGTTTGGGATTTTTACTTTGGTATTGCTACTTTAGCCAAGTAATCAGGTAATATGATCATCGGATTCTCTAGGCAGTCTTCATGGGAAGGTATTAAGGAAAGGAAAACAAGTAGGGGGAATGAAATCAATTCATGTAAAACTACTGATCTGTGGGGAGATCAAAAAAGTGACAAGGTGGATCATTCTCCTTAATTTTGACCCTTTATGGGCAAAACACAAAAGAACACTTTTTTCTTCCAGCTTTCAGTACCATGTTTAGTACATTGTGGCTTTTTGGAGTCATGCCCTTGCTCCTTGATGGCTTGTTCACCATAGCATTTTGACTAGGAAATTCTGCATTTTTGCAGGTTGTGTATTCTACTCAGTACTCAGTACATAATATTTTGCCTCTTGTTTCACTAAGGCATATAAATGTGTATATGCATTCCTATTGCATAGATATACTCATTCTGCTTATCTTCATGCATGTGCTCATGCATGTCTATGCTCACAAACACACAGGTATATTTTATATTAGTAATGGAAATAATATAAATAATCCCAAGAAGTAACTGTGAACTCTCCTAAATTTTAGAATGAGGCTGAGAAAATACTGTGGTACTTAATTCTATCACAGCGCTTCCCCTAGATTAACAAGTTATTTCACAAGAAATAGCTTTGGCACAAAAAATTTTTTCTGTGACCAGTTGTCATAGTAGGATAGTATCCTGTTTGGATGTTTGGACTAGGTTATTCTTCAGTGTTGTTATGGGAATCCTGAAGTCAGAGGGTTTGTTCTGCATTGATATATGAATGAGGATGTACATTAGTCTATGCCTTCTCCAAGGTATTTAAATCTCCCATGTAAACCAATTAATTCAGTCAATGTAGCTTACTATTTTTAAAAATTAGTCCTTCTGTTGGGGGGGCGGGAATTAGTAATATTGGTTGTAATCTTATAGGTAAAGTTACTCATCAGTGGGAATTTTGACAAAAATTATCGATTTGATGGAGTGTTCTGGTGCAGTAAAATTTCAGCCTCACTGGTATGCAGGGCTGGTGAGATATTTTTCAGGGGCAGGGTACATAAAGTAAGGTGAAGGACCCTTTTGAAGATAAAGAAAATAATATGGAATACAGACATGGTTTTATTGTGGCTTAGTTAACAACTACATAAAGCAAAGCTCAAGGTACTTACATTGAAAATATACATTATATTATACAAAAAATATACAAATATACAAAAATATCTTGAAAATATACTTACACCTTGAAATATACATTAAAGTAGAAGTTATTCATTGTCCCCACAGTGTAATTAGAAAACAAGTTATTTGGTTATTTCCTTCCAAAAATGTACACCATGTGATAAAAATAATAGTTAGAAAGTATACCAAAACCTGAAATGACGACTGTAACTTCTCATGAACAGATTCAGCAATACAACAAGCTGCTTAACATTCTTTTAAAATACAGATACATGAATTTCTGGACATTTTAAATTGCAAAATGGTGAAAACTTTATTAGTTAAGCATCTAACTCATCTAGAAAACAGATAATCAGAGAACTAAGGTACAGGGAAAGGGATTGAACCTGTGATTTCATTAGGATAGGGAACTTTCTGGTGAGTTGTTTAGGACACTAGGAGGTGAACTGACTTGGCATGGATCACACAATCAGTATGTCTAAGGCAGGACTTGAACCCAGGTCTTGCTGGCTGGTCTTGCCTCTCTATCCAGTACACCTCTCTTACTTACAGAGACCTAAAACTGTGCAAATATGGAGATTTTAACTGTAGTATTTTTTTTCTTGAATGACCTCATTTTTGTCCTCATTGAAGCTATGTTTACATGATATTAACATAGCTTATCAATTTGGTCAGCTGTATCACCCATTCAAGTGTTTTTTTTTTTAATCAGTCAATTAACAAACATTAATTAAGCCACTGCCAGCTGCTGCGGTAGGTTCTGGGGATATAAATTCAAACAATTAAACAATTCCTTCATTTAAAGGATTTATATTTTAATGTAGCACCATAACTCCAAAGATGTTCAGATTTCTCAGTGGTAATCCTTCCTGGAATCCTACCTAAAGAAGTGATACAACCCTTGTGTATCTCATTCAGGACAATAATTACATATTGTCAGCATTGACAACATATACATTGGTTCAAAGTTCTTTCATTTCCTTAGATTTGGCAGCCGGCTTGCCTTGAACACATATCTACAAGGAGATAACTGCAGATGGACTTTTTCAGAAGTTTAACTCTGAGAATGATAGAATCTTTGAGCCTCAAACTTTCATGAAATTTGAAACAGAGTTAAGGATATCTTCATTCACTGATTTTTCACTGGAGTAATGGCATATGTGTTCCAGATAAACTTATTAAATAAGATTAGACAACTCAGAGTAAAACTTTGAAAAGGCAGCTCAATGTTTAATTAATGGTTTATCTTTAAGTGTGGAAATTGTCCAAATCATCAAAAAGGAAGTTATTTTTACTTCCTTTACACACTGAAATTTAAAATAATGATAAACTTCTAAAAAAATCCACACCTAACAGCTATTCTGGTTTCAGACTGTTCTTTTCAAGTCTAAATATAAAATTGCCCGGTTACTGTAAATCACTTAGAACCGGGTTACACTTTAAAAAATGAAATGCAAAATTAGTTACATTAATCAATCAATTAATTTTTCAAGGTATTAATAGAGTGGTCCAAAGCAGATGAAGTATAGATGACCTTATTTTGAGCTAAGATGTTTCCTAATTCACCTGCCATAACAAAAAGGGTCCCTAGAGAATTATATGACAATATTAGTCAACAGTTGTTCAAAGAAGAGTTTTTTAGGAGGATAATTTTATTTGCGGATTAGAGATGTAGGTTGACAGGTTTAAAACAGCAGCATTTCAATAATTTTGTTTATTTCACCATCCTCAGCTCCTCACTTTCCCACACATCTAGTCTTATTGATTGTGCCTCTACAGTCATCTCTCACATCTCGCTTTCTTGTCTTCATACTGTAGGTCAGACATCATCACCTATACCAAGACTATTGCAAAAGCCTCCTGATTAGTTTTGTTGCTCAGGTGTCCCCCCTCTTCAGTTCATGTTTCATGTAGCTGCCAAAATGATCCTGACCATATCACTCACCTGTTCAAAAAACATAAGTGGCATGCTGTTTTCCTCTAAAGTACAAAATCCTTTGGTATTTACGTTTTTTTTTTTTTTACATTTCTTCTCCAGCTTCCCTTTCTAGCCTTATTATGTCCATGATATTCCCTCTCATACATGGTCCAGCTAATTTATCTCTCTTGCTCTTCCTCATACACAATAGGCCATCTTATTTCTTATCTTTTGTAGAGGTTTTCCCCTATACCCTCACTGCCCTTTCTCCTTACTTCTCCTAATTTTCTTCTGAGCTTAGTTCACATTCCACTTCCTGTGTGAGGCCTTTCCTGATTTCCAGGCTCCTTTACTGCAGGTCCTTACCACCACTACTGCCACTACTCTCTTCCTACCAAATTGTATGTGTTACTTATGCTTATATGTATACATGTTGTTTCCCCCAAAAGAATGTGAGCTTCTTGAGGCCAGGGAATATATAAATTTCTTTTTCTTTGTATCCCCATTGCCCAAGACAGTGCCTTACACATAGCTTAACAAATGCTTAGGTACACATTAATTCATTTTTGTCTGTTTGCCAAAATAGTTTGAAGTGTTTTATTGAAATTTCTTTGTTGGTCCCATGACAGAGTAATGGCCAAGAAACTAGAGAGGGGCCTTAGAAATATTGTGTTAAAGATATAACCGTATCTGACTTGGTAAAACAAAAATTAATATTGTCTGGTCCTTTGGTGTCATGTGCCAAATACATGAGGCCATTAGACTTACGGCTAATTAATGTACAAGACTTTCCTCAGGTGTACCACAAAGAATTCAGGTGCAGAGGAAATCACCCAGGTAGCCAGACCCCAAATGGTTGCCTAGACTTCTAGAGCACTCATTCCTTGATAAGATCAACAAGCATATTTCATGCTTGATCCAGTGAATGACAACCAACTCACAATAATAGATCAAGATGTCATAAACAAAAGATCGTTAATATCACATCAGAGTTGCCAGAAAGAAAAGCTATATTATAATGGAAAAACATGAGTATTCCTGGAATGGAAATGCTTCTTCATATTTTCCTTCTTGTCTCTATCACTTCTCCTTAAGGATGACACAAATTTCCTAAAGAGCTGTTGGTGACAGGTTTTCATAATGGAACTGTCACTAACATTGTTTTGTTTTGAGTCATTAAAATCATTAGAAGTGAAAAGTGAATTTTAAATATGTCATTTGGGGCCAGGGTTCCACATAACTGACATAAACTGGCATACTCAATAGGCTTTCTGCCTGCATGGCAGCATGACGGGTGATAATAGCTCAGCACCATGAATCGGGAGCTGGTCTGCCACTCGCTACAACCTTGAGAAAGAAAACCCCTTAATCTCTTTGGACTTTACTTCTTTTACCTATAAAATGAAGGGATGGGACCAAATGTTCTCTAATATTGCTTCCATTTCTAAAATGCAATGAATTCAATGAAAAACTTGAGTTATGTTAGTTGCATTACTAAACTGAATGGTCAGGTTAATAAAATTTTTCGATCTGGTAGACCTAGCCTTAGTCGAAGCAATGGAGCACTACTGAATTTATAAGAGGAGGAAAAATGTCCACTGTCATGGATGTGAAGCTTGAAATCCTACCATGATCCAGTCCTACATTTTAAAGGAGACATTTGGAAAACTCATATCGGAAAAGAGTCTACAACAAACTTTTGGCATGGAGAAATGGTACGCGTTAGCAGTATGTTGGACTTGAATCACTGTACCATAACTTTTTTAATGCCTTCCTAATTTCTCCCTTCCTAAAGGTGAGCGCCCCTTCCACTGTAACCAGTGTGGAGCTTCTTTCACTCAGAAGGGCAACCTACTGAGACATATTAAGTTGCACTCTGGGGAGAAGCCGTTCAAATGTCCCTTCTGCAGCTATGCCTGTCGGAGAAGGGACGCCCTCACAGGACACCTCAGGACACACTCTGGTAAGTTCCCTCAGGTTACTTATTTCCCTTAACTCTTCATCCAAATTAGCGGCCATGAAGTTAGTTCGGCTGCTTTTCAAGATGGTCCCAACACATTTCTGCCAGCATCTAAACTTCTTGAATAACTCCTATAAAGTGACAGAACTCACCTACAGCCATAAAATAGTCCCTCTCATCTAACACAGCTCTTCAAAGAACAACTAAAAACAAAGGAAGAAAGAACTATAGAAAACCTCATTGCTTACACCTTGTTATGTAGCCAGGTAACTGTTGAACTAGATTATGTTGTGCTGCATGTATATTAAATATGCTTTGAAAAGTCATGTAAGGTATTCGTGGTCCTTTTTGCAACAAGACAGGCCGGCCAAGTGAGCACTATCAGCTGGAAATGCTGTTATTTGTGGCAAGTGAAATAAGAAAAAAAAAAAATATCAGATATGCAAATCTCCAAGGTCTTTTTAATTTCAGAGAAATAGAGTCAATCCAAGATAACTGTAAACCTCTTAGTGAAATGAGAGAGTTGCCATCATCCAGCTACTATACAGAGAGGGGAAAGCCCTGGTAATTTAACTTTTAATTCAAGGCACAGATGGCCGTCTGAATAGTTGAGCGCTGCATCAGTGATGCTGATGGTCTTCATCAGAAAATTGGCTGTTAAAAGCATAGTTGTAGTATTAGTTGCGTGATTCTTTGGCTCTGTAACCACTGTCGATACATGGTCATGTATCTGTATCTTTTTCCAGCCTCATACATCATCATAAAAATAGAGAATGAGTACTTAATTCCAGTAATGCTGGAAAGAAAAAAAAAAACATAGCTCAATGTTGTTTTTTTTTTTTTTAAACTAGTTACAGCTTGTACTTGGAGGATTGAATGAATCTCATTTGACTTTTAGCATGTACAGCCCTAACAAAGAAGTTAGAGAAGAAAATTAATATAGAATCCTGTCATGCTCATTTTATATACTCCTGTCCATCATGACATATTAAATTTTAATTTTAATGTAGAGACATAACGGAAGTGCTGTCTTTATCTGAAATGACAAGTCATATTACAGAGTGCTGTGGTTTGTAAAGCAATGCTTATATTACATTTTTAAGATTTCTCCTCCTGTACTTGGCCTTTTAACATGAATACAAGGGGATTACAATACTTTCACACTTTAATTTCTGGATTGTCTGATGTCAGAAAAGTTCAATCAACAAAAATAAAAGTTGAGATAAAGAAAGGAAATATATTTTGAGTGAATTATTTTGCTCTCCTGTTTTAAGTTATTAAATGCATTTCTAAAATATGATATTTTATGCAAAGATGTAGTTATTTAAGAAATGCTAAATTTCAAAATTGCAAGAAAAAAACTGCAGACAATTCTGAACTTAAAAAAATAAGAATAACTAAAGAAAAGACTGGTTACTTTAAATAGATTCATTTATTTTAAAAAAAGCATTTAGTCACCATGAATTTCTTTTGGCCATATCCACTTTTATACTTAAAGTGTTATTTTATTTGAATTACCAAAAATAATTTACTGACATACAGAAATATAGCCATTGCATAAAATAGAATATATATATGTATATATATATTGCCTCCTGTATCATAGCCTTTAAAATGTTACTATTTTCATTTGTGAAGTTAGCATTCACTGTTGGAATACTTTATTGTTATTTACTGCTCATGATCAGATATATCTATGGTACTTAAAATTACTATAATACCCATTCTATGAGTGTGAAGTCAATATTTTCAAAATTTAGGGAGCCATTTGGCAGATTCTCAAACTTCAAAGTCTGGCTCTTCTGGTACTAGTTAGTTTCCTATTGCTGACACATTATATATTTTCAAGATGTATCCTTGGTATATCAATATATTAATTTTTTATAATCTTATTAATACTTTGAATATGAGACCTGTTTGTGGTTTTCTAAAAGATTTTGATATTTTTGATTTTTTTTATGGTAATGTCATTTTTTTCTTTATTTCATTTGTTTGGTTGTTTTTCTACAATTCAATTTCTCACTTTTACATGGTTTAACTTAACTCTGATTACTAACTTGATAAATACCACCATTATGTCTCAAAGTTCTTTTCATTAAAATAAATGTACTAATTAATGAAGCACTTATGTCCTTAGTATGCTGCTGTGATGTTCGTCATTACTTAACAGGTTTTTTAATTAAAACCAATGCTATATTCCCCCCCCCCTTTTTTTAATCTCTTCTGGGGTACTAAAACTGTACTTGTACCTGTCCATGAGTTAATGGTGATACTTTGGTTTAACTGCACAAAATCATCGTAAAAAAATAAAAGATAAAGCATAGAATTAAGTCACTTAGGTTTATATTGTGTTTTATACAGAAATGTAATTTTATGTTTAAAATATATTTAAATTTTAAATATGCTAGCAATAGGCTGATTGGTGTAAAGACTCTAAGGAAATTTTGAAGTATTTGAGAAATAATAGCATATCTCTATAGTGGGTAAAGTATTGGCATAGTTGAAAGAGTAGAATTGAGGAAAGTCAGGAGACATGGATTCTAGTTCTCTGTTTGAACTCTAATCAAGTGATAAGTTACAGCCTCTTGGGACATTGGTTTCTTTATTTGTAAAATTAAAGAGTTGGATTAGATGATACTTAAGATCCTATCCAGCTCAGAAATATATATTTATTTATAATTGGTTATAAACAAAATTTATGTGGGACAATTTTCACTCATTAGATTCAACTGTTAGTAATAATTAGTTGTAAAATAATGTTAAAATATAAATTATAAAATTACATATGTAAGGTAGTGGTTTTAACCTGGCTTTTTTTTTCCAGTCAGGAAAACCTTAATGTTTTTTCCTTATTTTTAGTGCTTCAGGCTTCTTCTCAAATCTGCTTGCTGCTTCCTTCAACTTTTACATTATAAGCAAGCACTTTTAGAGAGTAAAAGCCTTGCTTTAGTTTTTCAGGTCCTTTCAGCCCAATAGCAGGGTCAAAGACTTCACCTGTTACTGTTGAACAGAAAAGGTATTTATTCACTTCCTGCTGCAAGCTAGTTCTAGCCATCTATTCATTGCCTATAAACTAAATCTCACTCATTCTCTGTGACTCCAAAGCCCAAAATTTCCCTTTGGTGCTTTTTTACTTACCCTTTCTCCTGTGACCAAAGGGGGAGGGGGCGGAGCTGAAACCCTTGCCCAGAAATTATCTTTCTCCAGTCAAGGAACCTTTAAGACAGAGCTAATTTGTATGGAATGCTAAAGATTACACTTTAACTAGGTGACTAGTCCCTAACTTCTAGAATTCTCCTTAAATTTGGTTGTTGTTTATAAACCTATTAAATATATTGTAACAAACAATATTATTTTTAAACAAGGTTATATAATGATTTCCTCATAGTTGCCATGGTTATAATTCTGTGATATTAGTTCTCTTGCTTCACTTATGACTTGTATCTTGAAATAACCTCAATTTTGGTGAAATATTCTAAATAAGATACCCTTTGACATGCAAAACACTAGTGGGAAAAGAAAAAAATTGCTAAATTTTCCTTAAATACTTTTTAATGCTTCTTAAGAGTTGACGTTTTGTAGGTGCTCTTTCCTAATTTATTTCCATTTTATACTGTTGATCCAAATCTATCAAACCTTGGATATTTTATTTGATAAACTATCTCAACTTTAAAAATTTTATTTTATGTGCTTTTAGGATCTCTTAAATTTATCATATGTAGTTGCATATGTTAAGAAATAGATTAATGTTAAAATATCTTGACACTTTGAAAATAGGAATTTGTTTTCAAATAAAAAGCTGCTACACCATTCTTGTAAAGATATGTTTTTTCAGTAAGCTGCCTCTATTGTTTACATACATGTTCTTAGTGTAAGTAATGTATAAATTGTTATTTTAACATTTTCTATAAATTCTCCTAATAGTGTTCTTTGTGTCAGAATAAGAACTTAATGCTTTTAATGTAATTTATGTCATTTGTTGTTTTGTTGAGATGTGCAGCTGTGAGCTGCATGTGATTTTTCTTATTAATGTAGGATGATATTTCATTTTATTTTGACTTTATTAATTTTCAATTCATTTCAACAAAAAAAATATTAATTATATACTATGTGTAAGGCATTACAAAAAGTGCTGGGGTATCAAAGACCAACAACAAAAAGTGTTCCTGCCCTCAAGTAGTTTTTATTCTACTGTGTACAACATGTAGACAGATAATAACAGGGAGATTTGAGGAAAGAGACAGAATACATTTTTGCTTTCATTAGCAATAATTTTCTTTTTTTATAGCAATCATAATTTTTGGTCGGCATAAATTTATACATATAAAGCTATTGACAGCCTTGTTAGATTCTTACTTTATCACAGTAATAAAACCAAAGAAAATGTCTGTCTATGGTAAAACTTGTAATTTTTTTTTAAATGTTAAAAAGAAAGTGCATGAAGACTAAGAAAAGTAAACAGGATAGCTTGTATATTCTTTATTTAAAGAAATACTGGATAAACACACCAACCAACCAGCCTACTAAAAATCTCAAAGATAACCTTAAGCTCTGTTGTATAAATGATGGAATGACATTCTAAACCCTTATCTTCCCCTGCCCATACCATCTCAAGTTCACAATGTAAAGTTTTTAATAAGATTTTAAAACCGGAAATGCCAAACTTGGGCATTTACTAGCCCAGTAATATAATACATGTCATATTGATTTTCATTTCATTTCTTTCTTCATCCATATGAAGAATATACATTTTCCTTTTCAAAATATTATCATGGCAAAGTTATGGAATTAGGATTGGGAAAGTGATATGGCCCATATCTCTGATTCTTCTTACTCTCTAATCTTAGACTTGACCCACAAACCTTAAAACTTAAATATAAATGTCTAATCTTATAATTTTAAAATGTTTGGACTCCCTCTTCTCAACAATTTCTACATTATTGTCTTGTAGATCTTACCCTTGGCCCTTTTTTTTTTCTATTGTACCTCACTCTTAGAAATGG